GGGGGCAGAGAGGAGCGGGGCGCTGTCAAGTGATGACGTAATGTTCCGCCAGCTGATAACGGCGAGCCTCTCCAGACCGGGACAAGAGACCCCCCCCCTCCTCTCTCCACCCCACAAACGCCGCGCGAGGACCAGCAATTCGGCAGGGCGTGGAGTGGCGCGGGGAGAGTGGCGGGGTTGGAGAGAGAGAGAGAGAGAGAGAGAGAGAGAGAGAGAGAGAGAGAGAGAGGGAGAGAGGAGAAGAAGCGGGCTGCACTGTGCCGCCTTTAAAGACATCCCCGCCAATCTCAGCCTAACAGCGACAGACGCGCGCGACCAAAGGGAGTAGAAGTAGTCAGACTGCCGCGCGCCGCGCGCCCCGACCGGGCGGGGCGGGGGCAGGGCCCGCACCGGGGCTCGAACTGGCTGATTCAATTTGCAGGAGCGGGGCGGGGCGGGGCGGGGCAGACTGCCTGCCCAACCCATTTGTGCGGATAAGCTGTTTTGGCAGCGGCGCGCTTTGAAGCGACGACGCGCGCCTTTGCGCTGCAACAGAACCAAACGAGGCGAAATGGGGAGGACGACAGCGGGGTGGCCATGGCCAGGGATGTTTCGCCTGCTCGCCGAGGATAGCGAGCTACTGACTCACCTTCTGATGGAGGTGAAGTACTGGTCGAGGAAGTCCTTGGCGTGCACCAGCACCTCCTCCTTGGGCCGGCAGGTGCCCGTGGCGGCGGCGGCAGCGGCGGCCGCGAGCTGGGGGTTGAGCGCGGGGCAGCCCGACGCGCCGCCGCCCGCCCCCGAGGCCGCCCCCGAGGCCGCCGCAGCCGCCGCCGCCGACGCCGACGCCAACCGGTTGAGCGGCGGGAACATGATGCTCCCCACGCAGGCCTGGGACTGCTGGCACGGCGGCGGCTGTAAAAGAGCAGGTGGGCGATTAACAAACAGCGGGCCTCATGTACAGTCAGATCAAAAAGTAAAAGAAAAATCATGTTGTTTTCGTTAGGTTGGCACTGGCGGGCGCACTGCACTGCCGCGTAGAGGGGCGCTGCCGGCGGTACCAACCTATTGTTATTGGTAAACAATCAGCAGGCGCCGCTCGCGCGGCCCTCGCGCAGAAACGGAAGAAACATCAAAAACATTCGGAACACCCCAAGTTTTTTTTTTGTCGAAAATTTAAGAACGTGAAATTTTTTAAGATCAACAACAGTAGTTCACCATGTCGACCATCATGCGCGAGTGGCAGCTGGAGCAGGACAGGAGGCTCATGAAGTTTAACACGTACGAGGACTACCTGGACTCGCTCGTCGCGGACCAGGACGTGTTCTACCTGCGCGGCGCCGAGCCCAGGATCCTGGCCGAGCTGGGCTACAGGTAGGGCCCGGCCCGTCTTACAGCAGAGACAGCTCGACTACTCGTCAATCAACCTCGTGGACCTCGTGGAGAGGGCGGGTTCCTTTCGTCATGAGCACTTCGCCGTGTTCACAATCACCATCGAACTTTAAGCGGGGGTGCCATGATATTTGTACCTCGCCGGTGGCGGGTGCAAACCTCACGGCGATAATTCTTGAGCAGTCTTGAAGGTCCCGTGAAAAGAGTACCCCGCCCCTCTACCTTGTCCAGGTGGTTTATGGAGAGCTCTTGAAGGCCCTGGACGTGCCGCGTGATGACCCGTGAGTGAGGTCCATCTTTATGAATGAGTGGAAGGGGGTTGAGGGGTTCGCGGAGGATGGGCCTGCGGACGGGAGAGCAGCACTGCGGAGAACGTTTCGGATAACCTTAGGGGGGAGGCTCAAGCTTGAAGGGAGCGCCAAACTACTTACTCCCCAGTCGGAAGGCACACTAGAAACACAACAAGCAGGCCACGAAAGCCCTGCTGAGCTTAATATGCCTTTAGAGGAAGCAGATGCTATTTTAGGACGATTGGAGCCTCGTATTTCATACCCCGAAAAATGTGTTCTCGATATTATAGTTTATTATTTTTTGTATAGTTGATTTTCTTATTGTGTGCATTCTTATTGTTTTTGTAGAAATGCTCTTTAACACAAGCGTAAATGCACACAAGAAAATCATGCGAACAAAAAACGCCATTAAGTCAACAACACATTTATTAGGGTGCGTTAGTGCGTAAGTAGAGTGAGTTCATTTTCCGAGTAATAAATTTCTGACAAGAGCAATAGTTTCTTTTACAGCATTATACACGCTATTTACAGTAAACTCGAAACAGCCGCACAATTTTCACGGTATATAAAGAGTACATAATATCGTCATAACAAATGAACTTGATGAGATAAAGTAAATATCGTACTCATTTTGACCACACGAAAAAAAAGAGAGAGAGGCCTCCATCATCCAGTGTCTGCACGGAAACAAAACGCACAGGGGTCCCGGGGCCGCCCTTCTCATTTCACACCGCAACAAGTGTGTGCTTTTAATCATCGCACTGACGGCGGCTCCACTAGCCGTATCGCACGTCCTGCTCCAATATCGCTGGGCACACACACGCATCCATAAACACACACACACGCACACACTCAACACACACACACACACAGACACACAGACGCGCGCACGCAGGGCCGTACTACTACAGCTCCACCCTCCCCCCAACCCCCCCGTTATGTAGGGCCCCAAGAGCTGCTTGAATGGGATTCTCGCACGGCTTATGAATGGCACTGTTGTGGGG